ATTAATATTTGCTTGCTGCAATGTAGGCTTGTTTCTTTATTCATTCATATTTTCATTGATTTATTGTGTTTGTTACAGATTTCACTTAGTGTACCTGTGATATTTTTTGTGTGGTAATAGCTCATTTTCTATTGTTTTCTTTTCTCGCATTTCTTGGGGGAGGGGAGAAGCAGAGGTTATGTTGCTTGTTTTCCTGATTTACTGATGATTTCATTGGGTTTGATGGATCACATCATTGTTCTTTTGTCTTTTATTTTGGCATTGTGCTTTGCTCAGTGAACAGTGAGATGTAGACCTAATGACAAGAAGGTAGATCTGGTATAATATAAGATTTCATTGTATTGTTCAGTAAAGGTAATTAAAGATCATCAGTGAATCTTCAAGTGTTTCATACAATTATACATATACACATATCATTTTTCTTAATACATGTTGATTGGAAATGTATTCTTTCTCTTTCTTTTTATTAGCAGACATTGTAAGCATCATGAAGGACAACACACCACCCAGTTCTCCTAACCAGTCCTTGCAGGACCTTGGGGACGAGATTGACATTGGTGATATAGAAGAGGTAGGAATTGCTTCCGTAAAAAAAATATTCTTCTGTAGGGAGTTAGATATCTCTACAGAATTTGTGTCAAATTTTCCATAATAGTTAATTAATGATTTTACATGCCTGTGTTCAAAACATTTAATGTAGGTTTCATTACTGCATATGCAAATTTTTTTCAGTTATAGATATTTTCTTGCATATAAAAATAGCAAGCCTATTTATTCATGTACTGAAACATATTTGATACTTAGTATTATTGAGTTATGATATAGAACAGCATTTCTTAACATGGGGTGCTGAAATCAGTTTTAGGGGGATGCTTTGGAAGTGCTGAATACATGGCGGTAAAATATCCAGCTGATTTTGTTTGGGTTTGTCCATGCTCAATTCTTTTTCTGGGGTTTTATTTCCTTTATCAATAGTGGTTTTAGTTTTGAGGAATTAACAAAATGAATGATCAACCAGTACACCACTTCTCTTTCCCTTATCCTTCTAGTAATCAGATTTTCACCGGAATTTGGGGGTGCTAACTGCTGGGACCTGGCTATAGGGGTGCTAGGGCTGGAAAAGTTTAAGAACTGCAGATTTAAAGTATACAGAAACACTTTCAACACTCACAAAAGTGTAAACAAACATTTCTCAGCAGACTTATTCACAAAACTAACTTGCTCCAAAATAACAGGTGATTGAGCTGAGTGATGAGGTGTCAGACCAGGATGACAGCGAGGAAGAGGAGGGAGCAGGAGGGCTCGAGAGAGTGGAGGAGGATGAGATGGAGGAGGATATTGTAGACATGGCGACCCTGACCTTCAGCAAGCACCGGGGTAGGCGGTGTTGAGATGTCTTTATTTCATTAATGTTATCATCAGGTTATATGTATATGTTTTTTCTTGTTGTTGTTGTTGTTTTCTTTTTTTAATGTATGTATGCATGTATGTGTACATACGTTTGTGTCTGTACATGTCATGCATTCTTATGTGAGGATATGCATGTGAGTCTGAGTTATTATGCATGTAGGAGTAATTCACTGTTGTAGAGACATCTTTTTTCTACTTCTTCTTTTCCAGTGAATATAGTATGAATATGACAGAATAATACATATTACAGTATGTCATATATGCAACAAGAAGTTTATGAATGCCTTTAAACTCTTTACCTTTTCTACTCTATCTCAGGTTCGGTGTTTACCTGCTCAGTGTCCCCTCGTGGAGATCTTGTAGCCACAGGAGGGGAGGATGACCAGGCGTATGTGTGGGACATCACTAATGGCAATGTTCTTTTCACCTGCGCAGGACACAAGGTATATTGGTCTTTTAGTGGGGAAAAACTTAAATATTCTTACACTATTAGTTATTTTTTCACCCCTAAAGGATGTGTGTCCTATATTTGGAAACATAGTTGAAGACACAGTGCAGATAGTAACAATATTACCACAGGATGCACAGGAGTTATTGTGATGTTTTCATGTATCGTAAGGTGTATTTTAATTTTCACATTAAAACATTTTTCTTTTCTTTCAGGACAGTGTGGTCTGTGTCAAATTCAATCACGATGGATCACTCTTAGCTACAGGGGACATGAGTGGTTACATCCAAGTTTGGAAAGTGGAAGGTGCAACAAAAACATGGGATTTCGAAACCGGAGACCTTAGTGTAAGTCTGAAACCAGGAAGATTGTTTCATTGAAATTCTTTCTCTTTGTTAAATCATTAAAGTAAAAAAAACTTGTTTCTTTTTCTTCTTTCTTTATCTTTATGTAATGATTATATGTTTTTGACCCTCTCCCCACCCACAATTCACTTTTTTTCCAGTGGTTGACATGGCATCACGCATCCAATGTGTTGTTGGCAGGGACCACAGAAGGCGAGCTGTGGATGTGGCTCGTGCCCAAGGGAAACGCCCGAACCTTCCCCAGCTACGGATCAGCCTCGCAATGTGGAGCACTCCTGTATGATGGTAAGACTTGTGTTCACATTTCTCTGGATTTGCTTGGTACATCATGATCCTTCTCTTTGTCTTTTATGTCCTTCCCTTTTTCTCTGTAACAATCCATTGCTTTTTTCCCTTTTCCTCTTTGTGCTTTCTCTTCTTTTCTTCTCTAACTTTTCTCCTTCCTTTTCCCTTGGCTGGTGTGTCATCTTCTTATAAATTCCCTTATTTATATATACAAAATAAATCTTTTCAAGACATGTAATATCCCTAAACATCATTCACCCCTCAGGTAAGAGGGCAGTGTCAGGCTATGAGGATGGGTCTGTGCGTGTGTTCGACCTAAAGACAGGTCAGCAGATCGGCTCCCTGACAGACGGCCTGGCACACACGAGCCCAGTGGCCAGCATTGCAGCCCACAAGGACAACACCATGACCATCTCTGGCTCACTGGATGGGACAGCAATACTCTACAATACCATCAGTGGAAAGGTTTGGGAGAAAGCATTTATTAGTGTAGAAATTAAATGTACTGTGGTTATTTTATAGTTATGCTATTTATACAGACACTTTGACAATGTAAGATTTTAGTAATATAGATATTTTATTGGTATGTAAATATTCTCAATGTATACTAATAGATGTTACTAATGTAGTAGGTCATCTATCATAGATTAGTCTGTTATTGTTTTCTCAATTTTATAATGTTCAAGTATTCTATTTACTGCATTAGAATGTATTTTAAGCCTGAGCCTGTATATGAAATGAAACCGATACTTTATTCCAGGTGGTTGGAACTCTCAACTGCAACACGACGCCCACATCTTCAGACGAGAGCATAGAAGTGGACCACACAGTCGAGGCCGTGGGATTCTGCCCAACTATTCCCAACATTGCAGTCACAGCTACACTGTCTGGCTTTGTCACTATATGGGATGTGTCGACACAGGTCAGTCATGGGGTCTCATAGTAGGTAGAGTTAGTAGGGAAATCAGGTTCGTTGATAAAGATTTTGGAAGAGGTGATTGTATTTTATAATTGATAAGATTAGGGGAGAAACACATAGATTTGTAGTTCTAGGATGCTTCTAGGATGCTTACTTTATTGCTGGATGAGAATATAAATATAAAATGAATATTTGATTACAAGTACATAATCATTTCAGGTCAGTCGGCACGTCATAGCCCAAGGTGCTGGATCGTCACACCTCATGTGGCACCCAAGTGAGCCTATTGTGTTCACAGCTGGACTAGATGGAGTGGTGCGCTCTTATGATGTGCGGTCAGGAGAACAGCTTGCCAAATACACAGGCCACCACAAAGGAATATTGGCCTTTGACATTTCAAAGTAAGCTTGAAGTATATTTATTATATTAACAGTCTATTATCATTCAAACCTGTTAAGTGGTATTTTCTTTTTCAGTTATTTTTCTTTTCTTTTTCCAGTTTACCTTAAAAGACCTTTACATTATATATATGATGTTATTTTTTAAACATTATTAAATATTGCAGGTAATACTGATCATTTTATTATATATAAAATATTTGAAAAGGTGCTACCATTTTGTATTTTTTAATCTTTATTTCTTTTCTTTCAGGAATGGTTCAGCTTTGGTTACTTCCTCTGATGATGCCACAGCGAGAGTGTTCAAGATTTTGTGATTGTTCATTAAAGTGTAGAATTTTTGGAGACTTTTTATACAACCTTTGTATTTATGTGTATATATGCTCTTTTATGAATGACAAAAATATTTAGCTGGGAAAAATTTATACACATTTTGTTAAATTGTCCAGTAGAATACATATATTGAATATTAAGATGAGTAACGTGGGGGGGGGAAGAGGAGTATATCAATTTCTATTGCTTTGGATTAGTGGTTTTACTTAATATTATTTTCTTTTTACACAAGCATTGGGGGTAGGTGCAACATATCTCTGGGAACTGCCTCAGCTATGAGTTATCTGAAAGACCTAGGCAATATGTAATTTATTTTTGTATTCTTTACATATTTGGCTATACTTTGTTAACCCATCAGCGACGGGTAAAAATTTTGGCAAGTTTACGTATGTGCGGGCTTGTTGGCACGCACCAGCAGTTTCCCCTGTTTGCGCCCAGCTCGATTGGTAGTTTGCGAGCAACATATAGCACCTAAAAGCTTTTATTTTGATAAAATTTATAAAAATATTAAAATTTTGAAGGTTTACCTTCACTTTAGGTGCCATTGCGAAAAATCTTTACCATATAAATGAAGCCGCTACTTCTGGAGAAAAACAACCTCCGTCCAACGAGCCAGTAGCGTGGGAATGGGCATGACATGATGCCCCCGGCATTTGGTCCACAACAGCCATGGCATGTACATACGTAACACCCGGCGCCAATGGGTTAACATTTCTTTGAATCAGTGTTCAATGACAAGCTGTGGATTTTTCCTGACAAGAATTGTGTTAATGAATATTAGTAATGAATAAGCAGTACATTTACATGATAGACAACTAAAGTGAGGCAATTAAGATTGAAAGAATTCAGATATAATTTATTTTTAATAGTATAATATATCTGTATATACAAGCTTTGCTTTTTCACATCCTCTAAAGTAACTTTGTTCACAACAAAAGCATAAAAGATAATAAGCAGCTAGCATTACCTGAGTTATAGAGATGAGCCAAGATAATGTATAAAATACATGTATGTCACCAAAGGATATAGAAATGACTAAAACTGATGTAACTTTTCTGAAACTATATGAATTTTAATAACACTTTTTTTTCTATTTTTTCATATATATTCATAGTAATAAAATAAAAAAAATTGGTCTCATACAGTATCGGAATGAATCATTCATATATACTGTACCTGCCAGTCAAATTTTTACCCCCAAAACTGAATGCACAAATAGCTTCAATTTGCATGAACTTTCAGAATACCCATCAAAGGCAACTCTAGATCAATAGTACAATGTTGGCCTAAGGGCACCAGCTGAAGGAATCCTGTTTCATGGCCTCTGCAAACTTTAGTCATAGCAACCTGATTAACTGCCTAGTCGTGAGATGCAAGGATAGGATACCTCCTATGCAATCAATTTGCCCTGAGAAAAAGGGAGGTGGGTATGCTAGCTTTCCAAATTGAGCCATTTAATCATTCACCCTTTAGAGGTAATCTTTCAAATGAAGGGTAGTGTACATTAACAGAAAACCAATGTACTGTACAAGATGATGATTATAATGGAATTTGTATGTTTTGTGCAATAATTACAAATTATGTTAGCATTATAAAAATGGTAACAATAATAATAATAATAACAAAAATCATAAAAACAAAGGAACTTGTGACCCTTTGTAGTTCCATATAAGAACCTAGTATTACCTATTCATACATGCCATATAAAGATAAATAAAAAAAATTGATTATACTATATCTTCATCAGTATGTACGTTCAATCATAATTGAGCAAAGCAACAATCTGTGAAGGTTTTGCAGGATGCCTGCACAAAGGACACTGTTGGCTGGTTTGCAAGCACTCCTGGATGCATTGCCAACAGAACAGGTGACCACAGGGAGTTATTGAGGAATGTTGTCGCTTGTCTAGGCAGAGGGAGCACTGGTCTTTGCTCTCTACATAACAATCTGTTGACATGAGTAGAAAATAATATAATAAGATTTACTAGCAATTTTTATGATGCTTATGATAACCTGGTTTAGAAAGAGAGAGAGAGAGAGAGAGAGAGAGAGAGAGAGAGAGAGAGAGAGAGAGAGAGAGAGAGAGAGAGAGAGAGAGAGAGAGAGAGAGAGAGAGAGAGAGAGAGAGAGAGAGAGAGAGAGAGAGAGAGAGAGAGAGAGAGAGATGCAGACTGAAATGTAAAAAAAAAAAAAAAAAATTACGATTCCAACAATATATACAACACATAAATGAAAATAAGTGTATAGAGAAGAATAAATGAGAAGATACTTACTTGCAGATGGCTGCTTATTCTCAGGTGCAGTCTTGGTGAAGAGGAAGGTGTAAGCAGAGTACACAGTGGTGAGGAAAATGTGTGTGAGAAGCACCATACTCAGGATCTGGAAGGACTTGCGAGCACTGCTGTCACCTAACCACTCACGCACTAACACCTGTAAAGTTGGAGGTCAATTAGGAGATATTGGGAAAAAATTAGTTAAAAAGTATCAAAAATGGAAAAACTCAAAACACATATGAGCTGACAGACGTAAACAGAGATAAATGGGATACATAAAAATAAAACTGAATATTCTTTAACAACTTGCCAGGGATGGCATGTGTGTACATGCCATACCCACTGTGTTAAATTTAGTAATTGTTTTTACATATAAATGGCTCCACAATTACTAAGACACCAATGAGTCAGTTACAAAAACTACCTGTATTACCTGTTTACCCTTTTCCTTGATTTTTGATGTTTTCTAGTATTTCTAGTTAATATTGATAGCATTAGTAAAAAGCATTTTCCCGCTAGTTCAAGGAAAGGTGAGGTCACAAGATCTACTAATTGACTCCTTTGTGGACCTATGTACAGAAACATTTAACAAAACAATGCTAAAGTGAACACAATGTTTTCCCATCAGTGTTGGGTTAAAATAAGAATCAAAACCCCTGAGGACACACTCAAAAAAATGTACATATTGATTCCAAAATTTATATTTGCTATCAATACTACCTAAAATTACATAACAATTTAAATATTCTATACTTGCCATCCTTTAAGGCATGCTACTGCACACAACAGAAGTATAATGACATAAAAAATGGACACCTACTACTACATAAAGTACTGATCTTCAATTCACATACAACATTAACATCTAAATTAACATCATTGTCATTTACTACAAGCTGAACCAACTGTCCAACATCATTTCAGATTACCCAGCTGCCACTACCAGCCACTAGTATCTATGACCCATTGTGCCTATTGTTTGCTTCTCTTCCTGTAAATATTTCTTTCATTTCATGCATATATTACATTAAATCTGTAAAGACAACATTATCATCAAATATAGGATATTTTGGTATCATAATTTTACTATTCTGATATTCTAGTCCAGTTGGACTTGAGGTAGAACCCGTATCAAACAAAAAAACACTAATAAGCACACATCACAAACTCACATATTTCACTCCTGTCATCCTTTTGGAAATGTGATAAAAGGCTCCACTGAAGTAGAAAATGGCCAAGTGGATGCGGTGAAGAAGTGTCATCGAATATCTAATGGCTGGCATCTGCAGCAGAAGGAAGTTCTTCAGCTCTGGCCTCAGGTACGTTGACAGGTGACCAGCTCTTAACGAGTCTTCTAGCTTCCCCATCAGCCTTCGTATCACTTCTGGGCCAAAGCATTGCAGGGCTATCATCATGATTCTTTCCTGCAGGATATAAAGACCACACTCTTTTTATACTGTGTGAATGAATATTTTTTGCTTTCATCATGGCTACTTCATTGTTTAAAAGCCTTTTAGTGTATAGCTCAGAGAGAAAATGATATAGAAAGACTTGAAACATACTGCAACTCCAGAAGATGTAGCTCACTACCAATGAGACTGATTTAGATCTCCTATGTTCAGCAAGAACCATAAAAATTATAACATTCAAATTCAATCCAACATATGGAACCTATATATGATTTTCATTTTTCAAATCCTTTCAAATCATTAAATATAATTCATATTCTATTAATATATTCTTCAAGAATCCTTCTACAATATTTTCATTGTAATCAAAAAATACTCTTATCTTCCCCCACCTTACAATGTTTCCATTAAATGTATAACAACATTCAAACAAGATTCTCATTAATTTTAACCATACTGGCATCAAAACTGGATGTGCATTATTTCGCATCTATTTCACAATATACAAAAATCTACAAGGTATACCCGAACAAATTTGAAAAATGCATTTCCTTACTATATCTATACATGCTCATTTTCATTACATTATAAAATGTATGCATTAAGTCTACAAACTCTTAAGAAAATCATACTAACTGGAGCATTAGGAAGTCTTTGCCTGTTTCTGCCTACTTGTAGAACCCCTGTGTACTCCTCCCCTAGGGTTTGCCGCAAGGATAGGGTAGTCAGGCTGTAATATGTTAACTCACACAGAACTTCAACATATTTGTGAATATCAAGCCACACTCTTGTTCCTGCAAGAGAAGAGATATAATACATAATATTTTGAGAAAAATAAGTATCAAATATTTAAATGGTGGAATGTTAATATATAAGAGAGAAACAAATATGCTGGAGATATGATAAAATTCTTTTATCATTCTTCTACTTCAAATGCAAACTCTTGTTGTCCATGATCTATTCAATGTGAGCAATTGTGTGATAATATACATTCATAAAATCAACAACAGAAACATTTCAAACCTCACCAAATGATCTTTGGACAATGTCTGAGAGACAGCTTTTCAAGTGATTGAGAAAACTTTCATCTTTTTGGGCTGCTCTGAGCACCTCTGCTGCCCCCGCCTGCTGGAAAGGCATCTGAAATGAAAAATAAGTACAAATAGATCATGGGGTATTAAACATAATACTTCTAAATTAAATAAAGAAGCCAATTCTTGTGCCTTCTAAATTTTAAGGTGGTTGTTCTGCTTTCTTTTAATGTTTTATACTGTATACTAATACAGGGAATAAATTCACACACGAAATTGAAGGTAAAATTGACCTTGAATAAGACTGTCACACATTAATTTCTACAGGAGTGTCTATCTGGACACAGCCCTAAGCTATGACAATAATAACATTTACTTGTGAGTCCTATTTTCGATACTTTTGAGATTATAGAAGTGTCTTATCAGAGTGACCTTTCTCGCAGTGTTTGTTTAC